TTGGAAACAATTGTTAAGAATGATAAAATGAATGATGATGCTCAAGTGGACCTAGCGAAAGCAAAATCTCAAGAGATAAAAGAAGCTGCGCCAGTTATCAACTCACCAAAGAAAGTGAAGGCAGCATCAGTTAGAGTTGCAGACTTAATGAAGCAGTTGAAGAATAAGAAATGAAGACTTATTGATAAAGGGAAAAATAAAGTATCTACCTTATGAGGTATATCCTCTTTTTCTCTTTCCTCATGAACATCTTTAGTTGGAATGTCAGAAGGCTTAATGCTTCCCTGAAGTTAAAAGAAGTTATAGATAGGATTAGGAGAGCTCAAGTTGATTAGCCTCTTTGTTAGAAACTAGAATAAAGCAGCAGAATATGTTGCAAGTCTTGAACACTCATTTTTCTGATTGGTTTTTTTTTTGCAATAATTACTCTACAGCTTATAATGGCCGAATATGGTTGCTATGGAAGTTTAAATTGCATGTGAAGTTAGTCGATAACAGTGATCAAAGTATCACTTGTAAAATCATGTATGAGACACAAGTGATATATCTTTTTACCATTTATGGATACAAGAATGAAGAAGAACGAAAAAGATTATGGATAGATTTGATCTCACTCCAGAGTGTAGTTGATAGCAGCTCATGGATATTAATAGGAGATTTCAATGTGATAGCCTATCCTATAAAACGTTCAAGTACTAAAAAATTACAAGAGTGTATTCAAAAGCTACTTGTATTGGATCCTTCATACACAGGGCCATTATTCACATGAAGTAACCATACACTATCCAGGAAGTTGGACAGAGTTCTAATTAATGATGCATGGCTTTTACAATGACGAAACTCGACAGTTGAATTTCTTTCACCTAAAGTTTTAGACCATTGCCCAGCTCTGATTAAGTTGAACGTCCCAAGCAATCCCCACCAAAGCCATTCAAGTTCTTCAATTTTTGGACAAGACATCCAAATTTTTTAAAGATAATAAAGGAGTCATGGAAAGTGTAAACCATTGGGAAACCTATGATTATATTGCAAAAGAAGTTAAAAAGATTAAAGGCAGAGCTAAAGAGGTTCAATTTTATGCAATTTGGTGATTTGACAAAAAAAGTAATTGGCAGAGGCGTAAATTGCGACACTAATGCAACCATTAAGTGTTGATGTCGAAAAGAATAATAGACTTTTACTAGCACTTTAAGAATTGTTGAAATATGAGGAGAGCCTATGGAAATAAAAATCCAAGATCTAATGGACACAATAAAGGGACCAAAATACAAGGCTCTTTCATAAAACAATGGTAGTTAAGCAAAAAATAAGCATTATTAGGGTGTTACATGACAATGAGGGTAAAAGGCTAGACACATTTGCTCAAATTTCTAAAAAGGATATGGTTTTTCAAAAAACTGTTGGGAACAGAGGATATTAAAATTGAAGGCTGTTCAAAGGGGGTAATTGCAAATATTCTTCAAGGTCACTTTACTAAAGAATAACAGGCTGTCTTATCCCAAGATGTAATTATAGAAAAGATAAAAGAAGTTGTATTCTCCTAACACAATGATAAGGCACTAGGGCCAGATAGTTATAATGCATAATTCTTTAAATTAGCTTGGAGTATAGTAAGAGAAGATGTATCAATAGCAATAATATATTTCTTCAACACTCAAGATTTGCTACTTGCCTTTAATTCTACTATAATAGCATTGGTAACTAAATGTCAAAGCCCACTAGCATTTCAAATTACAAGCCAATTTTATGCTGTTCTGTTATCTACAAAGGTATAACTCGAATACTAGTAAGCAAAATGCAAAGGTACTTGCCAAATCTTATTAGCAGAAGCCAAAGTGCTTTTATAAAAGGACGAAGCATCATAGAAAATGTGCTAATGGCTTAGGAATTAGTGAAAGGGTATATTTAAAGAAATTCCCCAAGGTGTGTCGTAAAGGTAGATTTAAGAAAGCTTTGATTCTGTACACTAGGATTGCTTGCTGTCCTTAAGGCAATGGGCTTTCCGAAAAGATTTGTAGGTTGGATCAAAAGTTGTCTCACTTCACCCATGTTTCCTCTATCTATTAATGGATGCTTGGTGGGATACTTTAAGGGTGCAAAGGGAATAAGATAAGGGGATCTTATGTCACTATACTTGTTTTGTGATACTAATGAATGTGCTATCATATGGTATATTCTCCTATCATCCAAAGTGCAAGAAAATATAATTGACATATTTGTGCTTTGCGGATGATTTACTAATATTCACAAAAAGGAAGTTGAATCTATTCCTGGCATGCAAAATGTTTTACAGTTGTTTTACGTAGTTTTTAAACTTCAATTAAATTGTACAAAAAGTGAGATATTGTGCTTGGGGATTCAAAGAGCAGAGGTAGAAGAACTCTTACAAGCAGTAGGTTTTAATTTGGGTTCTCTCCTTGTTGGATATTTAGGACTGCTACTGATCACATGCAAGCTCACCATTATAGATTGCTCCTCGTTAATTGAAAAAATCACAGCTATATTACACAACTAGGTAGTAAGGCATCTATCTTATGCTGGTAAAATGCAACTGATTCAGTCTATTATATTTAGCTTGCATAATTATTGGTGTAGACATATTATATTGCCTAAGAAGGTTATTAAAAAGATTAATCAGCTATGCTCTATTTTTTTTTAGAAAGGTCAAAAAAGTACAATTAGGGGAGGAAGGGTAAAGTGGCAGACAGTGTATAAGCCTATGTCTGAAGGTGCCTTAGGACTAAAGGTGTAGAAAACTAGAACAAAGATTGCCTGCTTAGATTGCTATGGTCTATTTTCACACAAGCTTGCTCGTTCCGGATAGCATTGGTATAGTGTTATAATCTTAAAGGGAAGAGCATATGGGAGATATAGATGAGATAGAGTCAAAGCTGGTGTATGAGGAAACTGCTGCAACTAAGAAGTATTACCACTAAATTCTTGTTACAAATGGAGAATGGAGTGCTATGGCAAACCAAGGGGTGAAATAAGACAAAAGCAACCAAAAGTAAACTGGCACAGACTTGTTTGGTGTAAGCAACATATTCCCAAGATTGCTATAATAACTTGGATGGCCATTCTCAATCGACTCCCTACGAAGGACAAATTAATTACATGGGAGATTTTTGTAGATGAGATCAGTGTACTATGTAAGCAGGAGAAAGAAAATAGAGACTACATCTTCTTCAATTGCAGCTACTCAAAAGAGGCATAGAAGCAGGTATTGTCACTATATAACCTAAGACGAGAAGTAGCTGGATGGGAAAATGAATTCCAGTGGGCTGTGGCCAAGCTTAAAGGGAAGGCATTGGTTTCCATTATGCTTCAGTTGGCTTGGGAAGCATACATTTATAGGATATGAGCAAAAGAAATAAAAGAATATACAAGTCAAAAGCATTAATAGGAGAGATGATTTTAATGTAAATAAAAAAGGTAGTCAGGTTAAGAGTAATGAGATTAAAGAGTGTAGCTTTTGATTATATAAATCATAAATTGAATGAAAGTTAAGGGTTAAGTAGAGATATGTTGGAAATGTAAATATTGAAATAGTTGTACATGTTTTTTGTAGCACTTTACTACTTTTTGGATAATGGACATAATACTTATCCCAAAAAAAAAAAAAATTGTGTGGCCTAAGGTGACATTTATATATGGTTGGAGTTGGAACATGATATCAGCTTAACTAAAGGTGTTTATAGTGTCCTGGACCCTGGTGATGTGGTTCTCACACCTAATCTGTTGAAAAACAAATAAATAAATAAAATAAAAAATAATTAGGGATTTTTTTTTGGGAGGGGGGGGGGGTGGGACCTAAACAGATCGTCGTGTTCCTGTGTTAGAGATTTGACTCAACTACAAGGGCCATGAATTAAGGTTTTATTTTCTCATTTTCTGCGGGGTATGTTAAGTATTTGTATTTATTGGTTAGTTATTGTTATTATGTAAAATTATAATATCAATTTTCAATTACTACTCCAAATCTAACTACAGTAGAGTACCGCCAAACTAAGGAAATAAGAGATTTTGTATTATTAGCAAATTAGAGAATCAAATTAAAATATGGTAGCTACCTGGCGCTTCTCTTCTTTGTACAAGCTATTATCATGCAAAATCATCCTTTTGCTTGCATAATTAATAACTTGACTTCTTGATTTAAAATTCTCATCTAAAGAGAAGAAAAAATTGTCGTTGATTTAGTTTTTTTTTTTATTTTTTAGGTTACAATTAAAGTTTTAATTTCAAATTTGAAATCTTTAATTTTGAAATCGATTCTAAAAACAATAAGCTAACAACTCATTGGTGTTGTTAATTTAATTATTAAGAAAAAAAAAAACATGACATTAAATTAAGAAAAAAAAAAAACTAGAAACATGACATAGTATCATTAAACATTTTGCAAAAGGAGGGTTAAATTTTATTTTGGCAACTTGATTAAGAAACTCAGAAGCATTTGGGTGTAACATAAGTTTTTATTACATCATATTAACGAAATTTTATTGAATAATATTATCTTATTAATGAAATAAATCAGATTATATAAATTTATTAATGAATAAATTTTTTTAAAAAAATTTATTTTTATGTATTTAATTTAGATATTAATATTTACTTGTTAATAAAATAACTATCATTTTATTAATAATGTTATATATTTTTTTAAATTATTCATATAAGATTACATGTTTTTCTTCAGGAAGCTGCGTAACATCGGGTGAATATCGTTTCCGCTTGTTTCTTAGGAGGCTGGAGTTAATCCCATAGATAGCAAATAGCTTTTTAGTATTTTCCAAATAATAAAAAAGAAAAGTACTGTTGCTCACTCTCCCAACCCTTTTTCTTAGAAGCGTCTTTATACATCCCTTGTCAGAAACCATCATCTACATCACAATTCTCAAGCTTAAATTTGAAGTTGAATGAATGACAACAAAAGTGCATTAAGAGTTAATTAGGAGATTAATCTTTGTTGTTTATAAATAAAAATAAAATGAGAATTCAGTCTGTAACACGTGAAACAAAAGTTTATGAGATTATACCAATTGCCGTAGCTTCAATACATATAATATGATGATTTACATGCGTTAGTATCTAGGACTTGAATTATAAAAGCATGAAATGTAAAATTAAAGGTATAAAAAGAAAAAGATGATTAAAACTAGAAGGGGCAGTCTAGTTCAATTCCCCTATTTACCAAAATTCAACTATTTGGCTGCTTGTTCAAGAACAGGGATCTTTTTCCATGTCCCATCTAATCCTTTTATTTGCAGTGGAGGCAATGAAAATGCGCTAACAGTTGAGCTTCCACTCCGAATTTCCTTCAATACCCGCAATGCTGATATAGTGCTTTTCATATATAGGCTCTCCATGAACTCGATCTCCGATAGTGCTTTGGGCATTCTGAGCTGATCTTCACTCTTAGTCTTAGAGGTAGTCGATGTTGAAGAATTGCACGCCTCATCCTCACCATCGCCACCATCATCCCCATTCCTTGCTTCAGATGAAGCTAGTTTTTCATTCTTTGGGAAGAGATGGTCCAGCATCGCCTCACACTCCTTGACCAGCTTGTAAAGCAAGTCTGTAGAGTAGAAGGGCTGTCGCAAGACCCTTTGAATGAAAGGCAAGCGGATCAAAGCACCAGTTCTTTTGTCATATTTCTTCAGTATTTTCACCAATCCTGTTCAGATCATATTGTGTTAATGATTTATCCACTTGATAAAATAAGCACTCTTGGTATACAATTCTTAATTCCAAAGGTCCAGGAGTTTTCCCTCAATTTCAATTAGTAACTACTACTTTAATAAACAACCGGAGTTAAATTTTTTCTTTCCATCCATAATAGAAATGCAAATGATCTTTCCTAATAAGCACAAGTGTAATTGTTGAAACCCCTCTATGTGTGTTTATTCTTTTTTCTCATAATTTATATCAACAAATTATCTCCTCAGCTTTTTAGTTCTCAAAGGGAGGAAAAATCTCAATGGATAACGGACCAGTTTCCAAGTAGACTGGTGCAGGTCTGCTCTGCAGTCTGCACTAGCAGGATAATAGATCAATTTAGGACAAACCCATATTATCATAGGGAATAGCAAAGAAATAATTCATATGCAGCCCACAAATCATCCTAACATTTGAGAGAACTGAATTTTAGACCAGAATCATATAAATCCATAATAGTAGTACAACTTTATGATGCCTGTACCATAAGTAATCCATATAATGTCTGCGTATGCTGAAGCAAATGGTCCGAACACATTCAAATGGGGCCATTTAAAGGAAGGTTGAATATTTAATGTTTAATTAAAGAAAGGATGTGGATAAGTTGTCCGCCAGAATAATATTGGTGTTAACTGACTTCAAAAGAATAGATCTAACACTAACAGGATGTTCTCCAGGAATTGCAAGTTGCTATATACCTAATCTTCATTTCCCTAAACAACTCATTGGGCAGGCTAAAATTGTACTTTCAACTATGTAAAGTATTAAAACAAAGCAAATGGCAATATCTTTAATTAAACAAACAGATGAAGCAGTGAGAACAAAGCTGAAGTACCTGTGTAGTTAAGGGCGCTGTAATTCTCTAACAAAACCATCTCGCCATGGAAGTCCACTATCTCCTTTCTAATCTTTATCATTTCTTCATTAGAATCCTTTGCCTTGGCCACACTATCTTGTAATTCCTGAACCCCAACCCAAAACAACTAATCAAATAAGCATAAAATTTACAAAAATGAAAGACCCATTAATGGCATTACTTCTCGAACTTAGAATCTGTAACTAGAAATCTACATAATGAAGACTTCACTGCATCTGATAGATTTCATCTTATTCTTTTTAATAATAATTCAAACTTACTTTTATGTTTTCAATCTCAACTTTCAAGCATGTAAGTTACTTGGCAGCAACATTAACATGCAAACTAAAGCTTGTGCTTCAAGGTACAACTCTTTCATTTTTGTACGATAGTTGTTGAATGGATTTTCTTGCAAGTTGACCCAAAAAAAGAGTTTAACGGTTTAATGGACCCGTTAAGGACAAACGAAAAATTTTCCAAAAGAAGGGCAAGAAAATCTGCTATCTTTATTTATATTAAACGACGACGTTTCTGGCTCTTTTCATTAATTTCATATCCCGTCTGTTTACCGGGGAAAAAAAAACTCCCCAACCAAAGAGATCGAAATCAAATCAGAGTTGGAATTACCTTCAATCTGATAATATATTCTTCCTCTTTCTCAACAAAAAACATGTTGAATTTCTCGAGCTCATCTTCCAAAAGCTTAATAAAATCGGTCTCCTCCCTCGACATACCGTCGCCGACAGCGACCTTATCTCCGGCATCGACAACGTTGCCAGAATTTTCATCCAGCCTAAGCCGTTTATTCGGTCTCTCACCAGACTTAGGCTCAATAAGCTTCAATTTCTTCTTAAGCCCCTTATAAGAAAGGAACTTGTCCCGCCATTCAGGCAACGTCTCCTCGATCTGGTTACTGAGGCTCTTTCCAAATTTCATGGCAAAAACTCTTATTTTTCAATCTTAAGCACGTAATTGGTTGGTAAGAAAATGAGAAAGAAAGTGCGGGTAAATGAGAGAAACGATGGTGGGTCAGGGTAGGAGTGGGAGAAGGTATCGGAAGAGGGAGAAGGGGGAAAATATAATGGAAAAGAAAGAATATTCGGAGCGCATGGCTGAGAATATCCAACGGGGATTTTAATAAACAGAGTATATGTTGGGTTTTATCCCTTTCGAAAAGAGATAGATGTAATTTTTTATTTGTTTTTTATTTTAATATATTATTTCTTTTTAGGATATTTTATTTTTAGGGGATTTAAATTGGACACGTGGCTTGCCATTTTAATTTTTATGAACTGTTTCTGTTGGTGTTTGTGTAGCGGCTCGATGGGAGTTTTTGTTTGGGTCGGAAGTCGGAACTGCGACTGTTGAGCGGAGTCAGCTGGATGTGATTAGCAAAGACAAGCATTTTCTTTTTTTTTTTTTTCCAATAAGATAAGATATTTTCTAGCAGTGGAATTTGGTGCATTTGGTCAAATGACCAATGTTTGACCATTCAAATTCAATTATTACTACTATTATTTGAAATAAGCAACAAATTTCTTATTTCATTTGTGTAAAATAATTTTTTTTTACAAAAAGATAAAAGATTATAGATATTAAATATTAAAATTTAAATTTATTAAATATATTTTTTAAAAATAATTATATTAGTTAATTAAATTAAACTTCAAATTAAAAAATTTTATTTGAGTACTTAAAAGAACTTCCTCATATCTTCACATAAAATTGAATGACTTAAATTAAAATTTTTTGTTATTGGATCAATTTATGTATGATTAAGATACAATTTAAAATCAATTGTTAATAGTTTAGAAATCTAACTTAAATATCATAGGCAAATCTATGGGCCCAAAATATTTTGAAAATATTTACATATTTCAATGATTTTGAAGTTGTTTTATAAATAAATTAATTAGGCCCTTTCAAATCTAAATTTATTGTGTTCATATAGATTAATATTTATTCTATATATCTATGGGATATATAGTAACAAAAATTATTTATATCCAACATTTATAACTCTTTCATTTGACTTTATTTATAATAAATGATTTTCAATTTAAAATGAATAAATTAATCATCATTACATTTCACAAATATTTAAATTTAATTAATAATATGAGTATTATGATAATTAAAACCAATTTGATAAATATCAAATTGTAATGTTTTTAACCAAAATAATTAACATAATTAGTTTAAGTCACTTTTCATTTTTTATAATTTAATGTAAAAAATTAAAAGGTTTCAATTTATCTAAATCTCTGCTCCATTATTCTAAAATTTAATTTTTATTTAAAAATATAGCTTTTATAATTTTTTTAATTTAATGCTTAAAATGTTAAATATGATAAAATAATATATTAATAATGAAAAAAATAATGATTTTATTCTATCAGGAATGTTGCTAGTTGTGTATAACTAGAAATCGCAAGATTAATTGCTTAATATATTCATTTTGTTGTACATATATCATATATTAGCGTATTTATAATTACAAATTTTGTATTTAAAATTTTTTTATTATTAATAAAGTTGATAAATTTAAAAATTAAAAATAATTTATTATTGTAAAATATTACTTCAACCACCCAAGATCTGTCACTGTTGAATGTGTGATTACATAAATCTTAAGATTTAATAGATATGAAGCATAATTTGAACTCCAGTATCATGTTAAGTAAATAAAATAAAATCTATTGATAATAAGTTAATAGACTTAACTCAAATATATAATATCATAAAATCCTAAAACTTAAAAATAATACCACTTTAACATTATAATTCTTTTTTTTTTTTTTGGTTTCTCTAATTGAGTCCATGACATTTGTAAAAATTATTTATTTTACTAACAATAACGCTATATATGCCAAATTTTGAATAATAACTCACTGTTTTAACAATTTTAACATATAATTTTATTGTATTGAGAAACTTAATTTCATATATAAAATTTAAAATATATTTAAATTAAAAAATTATCTCACACTATTAATTTTTTTTTTTTTATTTTGGATCAACTTTAAAAAGGTTAAATTCTGATTTTATTTATATTGAGACAAAAGAAAAATAAAAACCAATAAAAAAAGATAAAGGAAAACTTAATTGGACATTTGATTCAGGATAATTCATATATTTTCTCTCGTAACCTTACTATTGGGTATTTGATTTTAATATTTGATTCAAGGTAATATGATTTTAAAGGAAAGTGATAGATTCTCAACAATACTTAAAGTCTTAAAACCATAAATTCACATCTCCCTATAGTATTCTAGGATTCCAAGAAAGAAAATTACGTTATTTTTAAATTTAACCTGAATAAAAAATTATGAAATAGCCATTACTATTTTGAAAAGCATGTTTAAAAGTGATTACAAATCAGATGTAGATTTTGTTGCTAAAATTTTTTTTTATATTCAATTAATGGCATTTGGCATAAAAAAATGCCTTACATAATCCTGTTCAATTTTTTTATTATTATTTTTTTACCATAAAACACCTTAAATAATTTCTTAAATAAATTTATCAACATTATTTAAGGCATTTTTTAGTTAAAAATACCTTAAATAATTTCAAAAAAAAAAGATTATTTAAGATGTTTTCTAACAAAAAACGCCTTAAATAATCATGTTCAATTTTTTTTAGAATTATTTAAGGTGTTTTTTTTCAAAAAAATACCTTAAATAATCTCCTAAATAAATTGAACAGCATTATTTACTATATTTTTTGGTTAAAAAATCCTTAAATAATTTTGTTCAAAATTTTTAAAGATTATTTTTAAGGCATTTTTTGCTAGAAAATGCCTTAAATAATGTTGATCGATTTATTTAAAAAATTATTTAAGCTATTTTTTGATCAAAAATACCTTAAATAATCTCAACAAAAATTGAACATAATTATTTAAGGTATTTTCCTCCAAAAATGCCTTTAATAAATCAATTAATATGGTCTAATTCTTCCCACTTTGCCCTAATTAATTCTTGCGTCAATTATTTAAGGTGTTTTCCCAGCTAAAATACCTTATTTGATAATTAAAAAGTAATTTTTTTATGTTCATAAATTAGATTATTATAACATGATCTTTTTTCAGATATACCTATAATAAATGATTAAGGTGTGTATACGAAAAAACGTCTTAATTGGTTATCAATGGAGGTGTTTCTTCTTACAACTGCCTTAATTGTCTCATATTAAAATTTTATCTTTCCTCTCGATGATCGTGTTTTGACAATATGAACATTTTAACATCACTGTGAAGTAAAAGAGCTAATAAATATAAATATCAAATATGGCATTCGTATATATCGAACGCCTTATTCGATGTCTTCATCATGTTTCAATGACCAATACATTTTTTATTTATATTTTAAGAGATCTCAGCTCATAGCATTTACTTATCTTATTAAAAAAATTTTAGCTTTCTCATTCGTCATTTAATCTTCATCCTGTTAAAGTTTATTGTTGTTTTTTACACAAAACGATGTGTATAATTTTTTTGATATAATCCATATTACCTTCAAATGAACTTATTTTTATTTTTTTGATATTGTTTAACTCTGGATTAAAGGCATTTTTTATATATATTATTTGTTTTGTGATTAAATTCTTTTAGCTTCTTCCAATCTTCCAATGTTTTGTTTGTGATTTATATTTTATTTGATAATGTTCGAGGGATTTCATATACCATATACCAAGATTTGCTTTTTATTATATTTTCAAGTTTAACGATATTCTTTCTTCTAAACAGTTATGGATTGTTTTTCACTAAACAGGAAGATGCGATTGGTTACATTGCTTATGATGTAATTGAACCAAATGGAGACTTTGTTGCATTTGTTATGTTTTGTTGCTGTAACTTTATTAAATATTAACGTAAAAAAATAACGTAGACTATCTTATGGTGTAACATCTTATGATAAGCTACGTATTGGAGAGTTAAACTTAAATACAATAATCATTGAAAGTAATATACAGTGTTTAGATCATACTAGAATAGACATGAAAGCTTTCAAAAAATTATATCATTTGCTTAAAATAAAAGGGATGTTGTAGTCATCTAGACATATGTCAATAGAAGAATTAGTTATCAGCTTCCTCCACATTATTGTCATCATACAAAAAATAAGATTATGAAGCATCAAATGGTCAGATCTTGATAGATAATTAGTAGATAATTTTATTTTGTGTTGAATTCTATTTTAAGATTACATACACTGCTGTTTAAAAAACTCGAACACATACAAAAAAATTTAACAGATAATAGATAAAAATTGTTCAAGGCTTGTTTGGATGCCTTAGATGGGACATACATCAAAGTCAATGTAGACACAGTTGACCGACCTAGATACAAGACTAGAAAAAATGAAATTGCTTCTAATGTCTTGGATGTTTGCACCTTAAATATGCAATTTATATATGTTCTACCAGGATGAAAAGGTTTTACAGCAGATGACAGAGTGTTAAGGGATGCCATTACATGCAAGAATAGGTTGAGAATCCAACAAAGTATGATTTGTATTATGTTCATGTAATGCTAATAACGACGTTACTTATTTCCATATTAGTAATGTTGTTAAGCATTCTAATAGGTAATTATTATTTGTGTAATGTCGGATATACAAATGGAGAATAATTCTTGGCACCTTATAGAGGTTAACAATACCATTTTAGTAATTAGAGGGTGGGACTCCAACCAACGACCCTAGAAAAATAATTCAATCTAAAATACTTTCAAACAAGAAATTGTATCGAGAGATAGTTTGGTATATTGAAAGCTAGATGAGAAATTTTAAGGGAGAAATCATTTTATTCAATTAAGACACAATGTAAAATCATTATGCTTGTCGCCTTCTCCATAATTTTATTAGGTCTGAGATGGTTTTTGACCCTATTGAATAGGATGTTGCCAAAAGAAATGCTTTCCAACAAAATGAATCTAAACAGTAAGATTTGATTACACATATTGAGCCATATGATTACTGAACTCAATTTAGAGATAATTTAGCTAATGATATGTTCACCCATTAGTTACAATCCTGAGGATAATAACATTATATATATGTTTTGTATTTTGTTATTTGTTTACCCAATAGTTTTTATGTTATGTACCATATGGTTAAGTACAGAA